TCGCAAGTTCAATGGTCGATACAATGTCCTAATTAGCAAATACAATTTAAAATATTTACAATATATTAACATTTTCAATATATTCCCACTATGATTCTTTACAAGAAAATGCAGTCTATGTACCACGAATAAGCATGAATATCTCCATTGTTACGTCATAATACATGTGCCGCTCTTGACGTCAAAAAATGTAGTGTACACTCTTTTGCTTTAAAAATGACAGTTGAATGACGTAAATTTATGGCAAGTCATCAGAAGAAAATGTAAATATAATAAGAAATGAATTTAATTTTTGAAGTTCATGTGGTATATGAACTACAACGCTTCACGCCTGCATATTTATCATGAAGCGCGTTATGAAATATACCAGCGTGAAGCGTCGTAGTTCATAACCTCATGAATCTTCAAAAATTAAATTCATTTCTTAAATGTATCATTGAAACTAATGCTAACTTACGTTTTTCATATTAATTGTTTATCCATTATCCACTGTATACACTAAATTGACGAGGAAATTTTCTGTTATTTCCATATATATATATATATATATATATATATATATATATATATATATATATATATATATATATATATATATATATATATATATATATATATATTCAACGAGACGTGATACGGCTCTTAGGATCAAGTTACAGTTATAATGATAGATTTGTTATATACACCCTCATAAATAGCAAAATATAGTAAAGAAAAACTTTAGAGATCAACTATATAATATTTATCCATAAAACAAAGCATAATAGCAAGGGACTTTTTAACACGCAAGAAAAATAACGTCATGTATTTGCTTACTGCGTCATCAGTTTCAGAGAGTGGTTATATGGATTCAGAAAACTACAGTTTGGTGATCTGGGAAGTCGGATCACGACGACACGTGATTGCATGAAATCAACAGTATTATTGAGTGATACGCATTAGGTATATAATAAATATTGCTATCATGATAAGGAGGAGAGTAGTCTGTCAAAACTACAATGAATGTTCTGTTAATTTAGAACCCATTCTTCAATGACACACAGAGGCACTTGTTTCGGTCATTATTTTTTAACCAAAAGTATAATAATTACACAAGGAATCCAACTCCCGATTTACATCGAGTACCCCCGGCCCTCTCTTAGAATCGCGCTAATTTACATGTACACTTTCAGAGGAAATGCACGGGTAAACTGTTTATACCTATGTCTTCTACCTTAAATTATCTACAAAGCCATATCTGACATGCTTTTCTTTATTTTCTTTCTATCTCCGTAATCAGCTTAAAAACTCTGCTCGAAGAGTGGAAAATGAAACCTCATCATAGAATGGTATGTTCTAGTCTCGGGCAAAGAATTTGACCTCGAATTTGATTGGCTAAAAATCTGTTCCTAAAATTACGTCGGAAAAACATCGTAGTGTGTTTGTGGAAAATAAGACACTACGAAAATTTATTTATTCAATGCAATTTTCAAAATCTGGAATTAAATTTTTAAAACCACCCATTCTTTAATTTTTCTCTTTGTCCGAGATAAGCAGATACGTACCGTTCAATGGTTTTGATAGACTTTTCCAGTCGGCGAGTAGTGTTTTGACGCTGTTTACGGAGATTAAAGAAATCAAAGACAAGAAAGCCATATATGGTCGTGTAGATAAATTATCGTACATGACATAGGTATAAACAGTTTGCCACTGACTATTCTCTGAAAATGTAAATGAGCGCGATTCTAAAGGAGGGGGTACTCCGTGTAATTTGGAGTTAGATACGTTGTGTTATTATTATACTATTGGTAAAAAATTTATTACAGAAACAAGTGCCTGTGATAATACACCATAGTTCGTGTGCATTAAAACATTGAATAAATAATTGGTCAATTGTTCCAATGTCTCTTTTTTACAGAAGGTACATGATGAGGAGAGATCTTCATATTTATAAGATTTAGCCCTCATAATTCTTCTAGATCATGATAACATAGACACTCTATTTCGTAAGAAAATTAACATTTTTTTATTTAATTGGTTTCATAAAGCCCGCTATACAGCTTATAGAAAGCTTTCTTTGTATTGGAAAATAACTTTTAATTCGATTATTATCTCTGGAAATCTTCAATGGTTTCCATTTCAAAATACAGTCAATTACATGTAATTGTATATAAATCTCTTAGGAGAAATGAAGCCTTTTTGAATAATGTTCACCGCTCAAGTGCGCTTATGATTATGACACGCGATATTTTAGTTTCAAGTGCCTCATTTTTGTTAAAGAACAGATCTGTCCGCGAGAAAAAAAAAGATTGATGAAATCACATCCTTTGGATACTGTCATGTTTGTGTTGCCTGCAGAGCAGAGGGGCCCTTAAAAAATAGTTTACCCGGCGTCTGCCTTTCTGTTTGTCTCTCAGCCCGTATATCTCGATAACTGTAAGAGGTTTGAATTTAATAATTTGTAAATACAGCTGTTTATTGCACGGTGCTTTGGGTTTTGTGAATTACCATGGTAACGGACCTCGTGTTTCTTGAGCTTGCCCTTTTAAAAATATTTCATGAAACCGAATTAAAGCATATTTCTGACAATTTAGACATATTTCTATATTTTTTTAGCAAGTCTACTGTTTTGTGTTGTTTTTCAAAAGACTTTATGGATGGAAAATACAAGTATTAAAACCCAGTTTCTTTGAACTTTGAGTGTCTCTTAAAAAAATACCGCAGGCAAATTTAAATTAAACTTAAAGGCTTTTGAATTTTGGAAATCAGGATTTTGAAAATTAGTATGCATACATGAGCTCATGATCATGTACCTATTATCTTTCTGATATTAGATTACAAAACAAGCCTTTATTACTAGTTTATAATATTTTCAGAGAAAGTAAAAGAAAATGACTGGTTGAAAAGCATTTTGTGTTAAAGAGATTTTTATTATATAAAAATGTAACTTAGAAAAAAATGTAACTGACTTTCTATACATACCATGCATATAATGGCTGACGATATCTTAATTATTTTTTGACATACTGAAAACATTAATTTCTTTATTGTATAATCTTTGAAATTTGAACACCATCATCGAATTTTTGAATGCATTGTCATATATATCGTATAAAAATACCATTTAAACATTCCACAATTAATTAAAGAGAGATAACAACGATTTTTTATGTATGTACCATTTTTTCTCTATTTACCAAATTTCTAAACTTTTTACATTAGATGCTTTTCACACGAAAGTTCATTAATATCTATAAACTTCATATATCTATTAGCATAATCACAACATATTTCACCTGTCCTCATCTCAGATTTATCGTGTATAGAGTTACATGTAGAATAGGATGGAAAATTTTCAAGCATATATTTTTCTGCAATCTTAGCTTTGAAAACTAGCAGGAAAGGGTAGATCTCTTTAAATATCCTTGCGCTGTACAGTTAAGGTGACAAATGGGAATATCGGCGAATTTTTTAGATAAAATATGCATTCTTTACAAAGAATGGGCGATTCTTTTTAGCATTTAACGGATCTTAGAAAAATACATGTTTCTTTCTTTAAAAAAATAAACACACGAAATCATAGGCGTAAAAGGGCATTGCAATCAAAGTGATCAATTTATTGTTATTTGTACATGAGGAAGTTTTTCTGTTAATTTACGTATTAATGTCCAAACATTATGGAAATTCATTAGTGTCATAAATGTCACTAGAGTTTCTAGAGAAATACAGAACGTCAAAAAATTTCAGTCAAATACAATGAAATATTGTCCATTTAAACTGCAGATCACTTCCTGCATGTGCCTGTAGATTGTACATGAAACCAGCGAGAACAATAGCTTAATACCACAGACATTTGTTCCGTTTAAGAACACCCCCTTCTTATTTAACACAAGGGATACCCTTTTCCATTTTTAATTTTTGTGTTTTTCCCCATAAAACTATAGAATATAATCATTCTAGGCTTATTGTTTGGTAATTTCTTCTCTAATAAAAATAATTTCGACTTCTTTCTTTAACAATCATGTATTTTGTTCGTTGTTTTTTAAGCTGTGTATGAACTGTCTAATTGGTACTTTTTGTACATGTTCTACTCAATACTCTTACTCCCTTTGGTGTAGGCAGCAACAGTTTTCCACCCCACCCCCTGTCTTGAGCAAGTCTTGTTAGATACATCCAAGAGTGCTTGGTTCTTACCGTAGAATTGGAAATTCTAGCGATAGGTAAATTTATCGATTTGCCCTTAAAAATAAGTATTTTATTTTTAGGGATATGTAATTTTAGTGATTTTAAAATACTCACGAAAAAAGCTTTAAAAAAATAAAACGCAATTAATTTTTAGCGATATTCAATTTTGGCGATCTAAGCATCCTCGCTTATAATGCCAAAATTAAATCCTCGATAAACATTAAAATTATGTGCGGTATGTGTTCGAAAAGTTTTCTTCTGAAGTCACGTGGTTATTTGGGGTATAAATAGTAAGGCCATGCGGTAGCACGGCACTCTAAGCTTGCTCGCTAGGATTTAAAGATTGTAAGAAATATGGAGGATAGTAATGCAATGGAGTGTAATGAAGTCGGGCTCTCAAACGAGGACGCCGTTTCGCTGTTTAGTACTTCACTCAACAAAGCCTTAGAAAAACAAAGTAATGTGATTGTGAGTACAATTGCGGGACTTACAGAACAACTAGGAAAAAGTAATGCCCTGAAAAGTGCAGCGCACGTGCCTGAGTCCGGACAAGCATTTGAATTTAAGCATGAGGGGCATAAGATTCAATTTGCGTTTAATCAAGATAGACTTTCTAAGTTGTCTGAAATTGAAGGTCTCATTCAGGAAGTTGATTTAACAAAGGCTGCAGCAGTTATTAAGGAAGAAAAGACAGCCCTACAACAGAGAAACAAAATTCTGAAAATCGCTGACCGTCACGGATGGGATACTGTGCACGAGTATCTCGATGACCCTTTGGCAGATAATACCGAAGATGCCACTAATCTTCGTTACGCTGTGGGGCGTGCTGCAAGAAAACGATCCTTCAGAGTAAAACCGTATGAAAGACGCAGAGGAAGCTTTGCGCCCAGTGACTTTTTTCGTGGCTTTAGCCAGTCGTATAATTCCTCCGAAAAATTCAACACAGGGGCTTCAAGGGTCGGAAATACAGGATTCCAGTTCCAAAGAGATCGTGGCGGATGTTTCTACTGTCGGCAAGTCGGACACATGGTCAGAGACTGCCCATACCTCAAAGGCCAGCCCATCCCCACCTTGTCAACCTCAACTACATGCACAAGTGGAACCTCTAAGCAGTGAAAATAATGAAGTTGAGTATATGTTTGATTTAAATGAGCAATATGAATATGAGCAAAATGTTGAGATGGTAAGTGTTAAATCCAAGCTCAAGAAAAGCATAAATTTCTGGAATGACGAGCTTAATGCTAATAGTTTTATTTTGAATACTATAAGATTTGGGTATGCTATACCTTTCAAAGAACTTCCATATAGTATTATTTTAAACAATAACAGGTCTTCATTAAATCATGCAGAATTTGTTTGCTCAGCTATTTCTGACCTAATTAAGACTGGGTGTGTTAGAGAGGTTCAAGAACCATCTTTTGTAGTTAATCCTTTGACTGTGTCTGTTAACGCGTCTGGTAAAAAACGTCTTGTTTTAGATCTCAGACATGTTAATCAGTTTATTGAGAAACAAAAAATTAAATTCGAGGGAATTAAGGAAGCTATGTTATATGCTAGAGAAGAACAATTCATGATAAAATTTGATTTTAAATCGGGTTACCACCATGTAGATGTACATCCCGAATTTCAAAAGTATTTAGGGTTTAGTTGGGAATTTCAAGGAAAAGGGAAATATTTTGAATTCACTGTTTTGCCATTTGGGCTTTCTTCTGCAGGGCATATTTTCACAAAAGTTGTGAGGGTATTGGTAAAATATTGGAGATCTCATAGCATTCCTGTCGTAGTTTATCTCGATGATGGTTGGGTTTGCTCTGATTACAATTCTTGTATAGAAATAGCCGCGTTTCTACAGAAAACGTTAGATCACTCAGGGTTTCAGGTTAATATAGAAAAATCGCAGTTTGTTCCAGTAGACAAAATGATTTGGTTAGGATTTATATGGAATCTGAAAGATGGCATTTTAGAAGTTCCGAATGAAAAAATTGACAGTATTCGTTCTGTTGTTGCTTCGATAGTGAATAATGTAAGTAGAGTAACTGCGCGAAATGTCGCTTCTATTGTGGGCAAGGTCATTTCATTGAAACCTGCTTTAGGTAATATTTGTCAGCTGATGACACGGCACTTGAGCATGGCATTGTGTAAGAGAACTGGTTGGGATTGTGTATTGAATATGTCACGTGACTGTATTATTGAATTGCTTTTCTGGTACAAGAATTTGGCCACTTTACCGAGATCAAAAATTACACGGTTCAGAAAAATACCTGCAAAAGTTTTGTTTTCGGATGCGAGCTCTTTTGCAGGAGCAGGTTTTTCTTTAGAACAAAATGAAAAGGTAGTGCATTACATGTGGAGTGATTCAGAAAAAATAAAAAGTTCTACGTGGCGAGAAATAAAAGCTATTTGTGTGATTATTGAGAGTTTGCATAATTATCTGTCGGGTAGACTTGTCAAAGTATATACAGATAATAAAAATGCAGTACTTATTGCATCTAAAGGTAGTATGAACTACGAGCTGCATCAGCTTGCTTTGGAAATGTTTGGTTTGTGTGTTGCGCATTCGATAAAATTAGAGTTAGAATGGATTCCTAGAACTATGAATACAGATGCAGATGAATTAAGCAAGATTTATGATTTTGATGATTGGGGAGTTTCAAACAGAATTTTTAAATTTTTTAATGAAGTATGGGGAGAGTATACCCGTGATTTATTTGCAGATAGTAAGAATAGAAAAGTTAAAAAATTTTATTCTAGATTTTGGACTCCCGGATCTTCAGGGGTTGATGCGTTTGCACAAAATTTGGCTGACGATAATTGTTGGATTGTGCCCCCACCTGTTTTGATATGCAAAGTTATTACTCATATGCAAATATGTAAAGCATTTGGAACGTTAATCATTCCAAAATGGAAATCCGCTTTGTATTGGCCGATGGTTTGGAATGAAAGGAAAAATAAATTTCACGATTTTGTGCTGAAGTTTTTTGAATATAAAAATCCTACAAATTTTTTCACAGCTGGTTCAGATAAAAACGGTATTTTTGCATCAGAAAAATTTCAGAGCAATGTACTGGTTTTGAAAGTAAATTTTGGAACATCCTGAAAAGTATAAAATTTGAGCACCATGTGCAGTTCAATGTACAATAAAAATTCATGCACCATGTGCAAAGTTTGTATGAACTGATCTATTAGTAAGGCACCATGTGCAAAAAATTAAGCACCATGTGAAAAAAGATTTGACTAATTGTTTAAAAAACACGACACTTTTTGGGTGATGAAATTATTATTTTGATATGCATGTATTTGGATATGACGGTGGTTTCATAATCTTAATATGAGAACATTTTTTCTTTAGGTACGCAGTGTTTGGACAGAAATTCAGGAAATGAAAAAGGACAGCAGACTTTCTTCAGCAGCATCAAACATTCAGCACATAATCAGGAAAGGGAAGAGTGATAGTTCAAATAAAATGTACGACACATATTTTAAAAAGTTCAGGACCTGGTGTTCAGATCATGGTGTTTCTCATTTACCCGCGGCAGTGAGTACGGTAGCCGTATTTCTTAGCAGTCTCGTGCAACAGTCGGTGTCAGAATCAGTGTTATCAGCTTATTTTTACAGTATTAAGTGGTTCCATGATTTCAATGTGTGCATTAATCCGTGTGATACAAAAATTCTGCATATGGTTATGGAAGGAGGAAAAAGAATCCTTAGTAAGCCGATTCAGAAGAAGGAACCTATTACGCCCGAAATTTTGGAGCAGATCATAAACAAATACGGTGATGACAGTCGGAAAAATGACTTATTAAGTGTAAGAGTGTGTGCTATGTTTCTGATGGGATTTGCGGGGTTTTTAAGATTTAATGAACTTGCGAACTTAAGAGTTAGAAATATTTCTTTTCATGATTTTTACATGTGTTTACATATTGAAAGCAGCAAAACTGACGTTTATAGACGAGGTAATGATGTTCTCATTGCAAGTACAGGTAATGCTACATGTCCTGTGTTTTGGGCAAAACATTATTTACAGTTAGCTGGAATATCAGGAAAACCAGACGATTTCATTTTTAGATCTGTACGTTATTTCAAATCAGCTAATTGTCACAGGCTTTGTAATATCAACAAGCCTATTTCTTACACCAGGGCACGTGAAATATTACTTGATTCTTTATCAACCATTGGTGTGGATTCAAAGCTATTTGGTTTACATAGTTTACGTAGTGGTGGCGCTACTTCTGCAGCTTCATGTGGGGTAAATGACAGGTTATTGAAAATACATGGTCGTTGGAAGACAGATTTTTCAAGGGATAATTACATTAAGGATTCTGTTTCAAAGCAGTTAAATGTAACGAAGAATTTACGCATATAAATTTTGTTGTTTGTGTATATGATTATTAAAATTGTTTTTGTGAATCTATATTTGTCTATATATGGTTATAATTGCATTGTAGGAAATCAGCCCAATGATAAATCTCTTTGAATCTCTAAGCACTAGCGAGCAGCGTTCCTACTTAACATGTGTTGTGTTTTATTCATTTAGCACTTCATTAATTTATATTCGGACGAACGAAGTGAGGGAGAATATAATTAAAATTATGTGCGGTATGTGTTCGAAAAGTTTTCTTCTGAAGTCACGTGGTTATTTGGGGTATAAATAGTAAGGCCATGCGGTAGCACGGCACTCTAAGCTTGCTCGCGAGGATTTAAAGATTGTAAGAAATATGGAGGATAGTAATGCAATGGAGTGTAATGAAGTTGGGCTATACAGTTGGTTTCATAAAGTGGTTATGTATTAGAATTGAATAAAAGCACTAGCGAGCAGCGTTCCTACTTAACATGTGTTGTGTTTTATTCATTTAGCACTTCATTAATTTATATTCGGACGAACGAAGTGAGGGAGAATATAATTCTGCTTATACGGTATCTAATTCTCAACTGTCCTTCTTTATGAAATAAAATTACCTTTCAACGATTTCGAATTAGATAATTACTTTCAATTCTATCACGATTTAAAGCACTTCATGTTATCGTTTCGAAATACATTTAACTATCTATTTATTAGTTTCCAGGGGACACAGTGTGGTAGGAATTAGGGCGGATGTAGGGTATAGAACAGAATACAAGATATGAGCCTCTCAATTGTTCATCTACGATCATTTTGTTTGGTAATGTACATATACGTTTGTTAGAATCTTGATCTTTCATGAAAAAATAAAAAAATAAGAATGTTATTTGTGCATTAATGCATAGATTTGTATAAGCAGAGATTAGTGAAGACTAGACTAATGCATTTAATGCGGATGTTTATATGTAGACAGGGAAGGTCAATAGAAAATAAACCTCACAAGTATATTTTTTCAAGGAAAGTATGAATAAACAAAGTAAATACTATTATGTTTATATGTATGTTGTGTATTTGATAAGAATTTTACCATACCACAAGAATTCACTAACTTGCCATTCATTTTAGATAAAAAAAAATACTACCTAAAGAAAGCATGATAATATTTTTAATAATCATTTATATACATATTCTCACAACAAAATTTTTAACATTGTCTCATTTTATAAATAAGAACAGCCTAATAAGATTCTCTTAAATCAATCGTCATATTATTTAAATCAAAACCTTCTATTTTCGTTTACTTACTGATAAAAGAGAGATAACAACCATTTCATATTTTAATAAATAATACCTTTAAAAGTTGTTAGAAGCCTTTGAGTACTTTGAAAATCCTTTGCTCAAAAAGTACATACACGTAAGGGTGTGTGTGAAAGAGAAAGAGAGAGAACTATGGAAAGTACTGCGTATGAATATATTAGAACATTTTGAAATATTTAATTTCATTTTTTTTCTTCTGACAATAAATATGCTTTTAGAATAATATTTCCATTATTTCCAATATTTCTGCGATGTGGATACCTTACCGCTTATTTTTTTATTCACTCAAATACAATATTTTCTGTGACTTGATAAGTAGGACCTTTTGGTTTTTTTGGGGTTTTTTTTTTCGCTTTTTTAACAAAAATTATATACCTAGAGGGCTAATATCTGTTTAAATATATAACATCAATGATTCTTATCCCAGTTCTTACTGGTTAGAAATGGAACCCATCAACTATCACATTGCTTAGGGACTTTGATTATTTTATATGAACTGGATTGTAAGCAAATTACACAATATGTTAAAGGAAAACGAGTATTCCAATTGATGATGATTGGCATGGGATCATAAAGTCAACATAACGAAATATTGTAATATAAGTATAAATTTTTAGACATTTCTTTTCATATAATTCAGAAACAGATTTTAACCGCCCAGTTTTGTTTTATAAAGTAGTAAGACCAAAACGTCTGCTTTAAAAACATGTGACTGGAAATATATAATGACATTTTTTGTGAAATGAGGTGACAGTCATAAAAGCAAATGTCTCTCTTGGCTGCTCTATTGTCACTGGTATCGGAATGGAAAGGGGACCCTTTTTCGTGCTGTTATCTTGCATTACCTTTGATAACATTTTGTTTTAGTTACGTCAATTTGTGCTTATTTGTATACTGCACTGAACTGTAAAACTGTTGTAAGTTTCTTTGGTATCTTGCTGCCCTGCATTAGAAGAAGTACAGTTATTTTTGACGCTATCGAGTGCTGTTTAGCAAACGTCTGTTTAGCAAACGTCTGTCTACGCCGGTGACGATCGATTACACTGAACAGTGACTAAGTGAGTGGCTTTGTATTGGGTCCTTCAGATATAGCGAGAGACCAACAGAATATGGCGGACAAATTCTTTTAGGAGTCATGTTCAGATTTAAACTGCAGAAAAATCATGAGCTTTGTACCCATCAATCGATACTTTTAAAATAAAAAAGACATAACGTTATGTAAGCAATAGTTAGCTAGTGGCATTGTGATTTCATATTCTGTTCAGTCAAGCACTTTTTTTTTTATCAGAAATCATCATTACGTAAAATACAAAACACATTCTAAATAAATTATATTACCCGGTATATCTCAAACTTCTTTATAAACGATATGTTGAAAGTCCACAAGACTATGAACAAACAAATAGGATAAGTCATGCTATTCTAAGTAGAATGTGAATGTGAAGTAAATGTATCAAAATAGTCATTATATTGTTACAGAAAGCACTTGTAATATTGTACACAGCTTTTACAAGAGGAACACGTTGCTTAACACTTCCCAATAACGCATGTGAAGAATCCCTAAGAACCATAGCTTATGTCTCAGCGTGTCCAACAGACTTTAAGGAATATCAAGCTGCTGCAATTAAGAAAAATTGTCGACAGTACAATCAGACCTGTAGATCCTTCGAATACCACTGTGTCCTAAATGATGATATGACAAGAGTCATTGAAGTCTGCGCCCCTTGGCGTTATATTCAATGTAAGTAAGTTTGTGATAGGCGAAAGAGATTAACATTTTTTTAATAAATATATGGTATTTTACATCTATATACATTCGAATTTTCTGAAAATAAATAAATGTAAATATCGTTTATTAGTTAAAACAAGATAGTTAGTTGATAGATTTATTCCCCACTCTTCCTAATTTTAAACTTACTACGATTTCTTTCTTTACTGATAGCGGGAAAATGTACAGAGTTTAATATTGGACTAAGGAGCATTCGGAAAATCTACAAAAGTGATTGTACTGATTTTCCTTTCCCTTGCCCTACATATTACAACTCAACAGAGTCATATCGATGTAATTACTTTTTATCACCCTTCTTTCTTGTACACATCAACTGAGAATTATCATTACTAGTAAAAGGATAGACTACATCGGGTGTTTAGCTCGTGTTATGTTTTATATCCTTTTTTTAAAACCATCACCTACTTTTTTTCAAGACACGGGCTGTTATAGAAAAATTACAACCCCGACAATAAGAACCTCAGATATGACAACAAGAAATGAAACTGTTTCCTATACAACAAAGGCTGTTTCAAGACCAGAGAATCAAACGTAAGAACGATTCTAATCACTAAAATTTTTTGTTTGCATTTATAATAAAGAAAATAAGGAATAATGAATACGTGTATATTTCAGAAAAGTCGGTTAACTACATGATTAATTTGCAAATTAGACAATCATCTTTGTAGATATGAGACAACTAAAAGGGAATATAACATAGATTATATAGGGATTTCATTCGGTATAACCATTCCAGTGGTACTGCTGATGGTTATTCTTTGTGTTTATTGGAGAACTCACTTGAAGCAAAAAGGTAAATATAGGTGTATTAAAAGATACACTGTAACTATGATTTATGTAACTTTGATTGAATAAGAAAAATCTATTGAGCCTTTTATTTCAGATAAACCCTTTACCTCTTTTTAAAGGTTGTCTTGAACTAAAAAGAGATTTTTAAATTAACACTTATAGCACAATTTGCCTTTAAATAATTGAAGAAAACTTTTAATATTCTATTTAAATTGAAATTGAAATTGATGATATATTTACATCGTTAGGGCATGTGTAAGAGTGTATCAAAGGTTGAGATATAGTAAAAAGTTAAACAGTTAAAAGAGAAAAATTCTTCTACAGTCTGCAGTTTTCACATTTCGTGGACAATATTTCCAGACATTGAAAACAACTAAAATAAACCCCTACGAAAATTGATAATTTCCAGTAATTTGTATCGTCATGTGACATTCCAAGATTAATCTTGATTAATCTATAATCAAGATTATAGATTGATAATTAATCAATACATTGAGGTCATCTTATTTTGGAAATGAAAATGTGACTTCACACTGAAAAAAATAAGTGTTTTCACATTAAAAATATTTGATATTAATTTTCCTTTTAGAAATAATTTGATGAACAGCGACATTGTCAAAGTATTTATAAATCTCTCTCGCACTTTTCTCTAATTCCTTCTTTAATGTATATTTTTATATTATTATCATTGCTCTTTTATTGTTATGAAGGCATTAGAACAGAAAGAAAATCTTATTTTCAAGTATCCCAGAATTCTTACAAGTAAGACCTTCCGGGAATGTATAAAGGTATGTATAATTTATTACGCAAGTCTATTTCAGATCTATCAAAAAACTTTTTAATTCGATATATTGATTTGTCCAATTTGTTGAGACAAATTAAATTACTCAGTATTTTTACATTGTTTTAAAATCGAAGTTCAACTCAAAAACGAATTAAGTCTGTTATTACTAATTTCTTTAATTCGGTTTAACGATTGTTTTAAATATGCTATGACAAATTGAATTCGTTACAAAAATATTTAAATTTGTATTGTTTATAAGTAATACACGAGTACTTTTCTACAGGGCCTAATTGCCAAAAATTGAGTAAACGACTTTAATTCGTTGTAGTTTTTTTTAAAATCCCTAACATGTTATAACGAGCTCAAGAGAAAATTTGTTCTAGCAAATTTGACAATTCGTTATATGGATTCAAAAATATGTTTGATTGGTCCTTAAAATAGTCTTCTGTACTTTCATGCAGGTCATGTTTAGGTAAAATATAATAAATTTTCATGCAAGTGCTGGACTATTTAATGATATGAATTCCTTATCTCCTTAAGCTTGTAGGACTGTGAAAAGGCTGTGTGAAGTGAAATGGACTATCGTAAAATAATATACAGTGATTTTGAAGACTCGACATCATTAACGGCAAAATGTTTAGATATGTGAACCAGAAAAAAATTAAATGACTTTTGCAAAAGACAGAATGAAGTACTGTACATGCTTTTCATTACCACTTTCAGTTCCAGAGATTGAAATCAGAAAGTACTTATAAAAGGATCGTTAGGTTTTGTTGTTCTTATCCTTTCTCTGTCTCTATATCAGATAACATTTCAAGCACCATTAGGCCCGACAAATTTAAATAAACTTAACAATTGTTATCAATAATGTAGACTGAGAAAATGATTCTGCATGTATACTATTTTATCTCAGGAATAAATAACTAGATTAAACACGTGTGTACATGTATATGTATGTCACTTAAATTTGATTGTGTCATATTTGATATGAAATGTAACAAAATATGCATATTAATAGAATTGTTGTACATGTAGATACAAGTGCATTCCATTTATCAATTAACAATTGATCATGATTATTACCTTGAATTCATTTTCAAAAAATGCACATAGAATACAGTCAGTGTACTTACATGCCTTTATCTTATGACATCACTAAGACTCAAGTCTTAACCTACAGAATATGTTCTTTCAAAATATTAATAAAAATAAAAACATATGTTCTGTTGATTTGTTTTGATTTCTGAAAATTATCCTAAAAGAGTACACATATACTAGTGATATACATTAAAATTACACCGACAATCTGATATTAAAAAAAATGACGTATGGCTCAGTGTCACATCAGTAACCACTGTGATTGTTTAAACCTTAAAAGAATGCAGTAATAGCTCTATAAGGTTCCTAATGCACAGAGCAACTCCGACTGCTCCAGTCTACTCAGTAGCAACCTCAGTGTCTTTCAAGGTTTTCAAAGCATGACTCGATCCATACTACAGGATTTTCTTGGATTCTCAGTACAATACAGTAATAGCTGTGACTTCAACATTTTGTTTGTTTGTGTTTTCTATTTATTTGACGTGCATGTACATTTTTTGAATTTTTCACTCACATGGAGACGCCCCAGCTTGCTGATGGAGGGCAGCCAATGTATAAACCACGGGCGTCTGAGTTTTTTACCTTTTGAAAAGGTCGAGCTCCTGTGGTTTTTACATATACTTGAACTTAGAGTCATTGAGCAGTGAGGTACTTTGATTCGTGCCAGTACCTTCAACATACAGTCCATAATCTACCGTCCCTTTAAATTAGACGGCAACGCTCTCGCCCCTTACTGAATAGGTCGTTCAATTCAAGGCAGCGATGACTGACCTAAGTCGATAAAAATTGGTAGCAACTGTTCCCACTCACTTTGAAGAGGAATTGAGACACTCAGATGGAACCTTTAATTTAAAACCGACCCTCATGTCACAGTTAGAGTGGCACGATCACACCCCCCCCCCACACACACTGATCAATAACTTTGGGTGCCGAGTAAAGATCCAAATTTGAAGCCTTTCAGCGGTATATGGTTACATGAACGTCTTTATATGAGTGATTTTTTTTTCGAAGTGGACGTAAATCAGCATTCAATAAATCAGTCAATCTACAGAGAGTCTTTTGTATTTAATACCTATAACGATATACGTATTACATGTACATGTATGTCTTAATAATAAAAGAAGCTAATTTTGTGGTAAATATGCTTACAGATTAAGCTACAAGGTTAATGTGCTGTGCAAATTCACGTTTTTTATAATTGATGTAAATGAAAGCAGAGCACCCGAAGTATAATAAGTAATCATCATGATATAGTACAAAAGTTATCAAAATAAAATTTCTAACACGCAAAGAGAAAATTTCAGTTAATGAGCATCGTAGTACACTATGTATAATATAGTAAAACAGAAATTCCACCAATTTTCCTAAACAAACACTGGGAATTTGAACAAATCGTTTATCTTGCTATAATAAGATACAATTAGGAACCCCGCTTTTATACTGAAAACTAATTTAATCTTTTTAAAAGAATGTATTTAAATATTTTTACAACAGCATTTTTAACAGGATTATTAATTTTGCAAAATTTTACAATCAGCTAAAGTGTATGGTCTTACATGCAACTAATTATATAGATAATTTCATTTATGTGCTGAAAGCTGTTTATTTTCTTTTGTCTAAATGTAAGTAATTAGGTGTTCTTTTTTATTGTTTAAACTGAATGTTTTGATTTTTCTTCATTTGCTGGAATTCTCCCAGGCCTTGCAAGTGTCAGGTTCCATGTTATGTAATTTCCCCCAGTTCTTCATTTACGGCTGCTTGTTACGCAACTCAAAAATTTCTCATTGTCAAATCTTACCCCTTCGTAGACAATAAGCCAATCAGAGATTTCCATCATAATCATGTGTTTTGATGCTTTTTGTAACTGACCAGTCAGCCCTGGGTCATTGTCGCTTTATCGACGCTATCAATAACAGCAAGAAATTTGGCACACCCACCACCACCCTAGCTTTTCCTACCTTGCATTTATATGTTTTAAATTGATATATAGATTATATTTGAAACATTGGCATATTTATTTATGTAGTGTCATCTTTTTGCTACTGTACCTACTGTTTTTATATTTTTTTGCAAATATGGTTTATCTGTAAATTTAGGGGATCAGTACATTAATATGTATTTGTGCGATTATATTTTGATCTGATCCCCTATCATGTGATGCATATATATTTTTTTTCTTATTTCGTCATTTTAATAAATGACATATTTCATCTCAACAATGGTGTTGATCTTATTTGATTATATCTCAGCAAAAACAGAGCTGCGGTGAGTTTGTTCAGCATGAGGAAACATAAATATAGGTTATTTTGTAAAACAGGCCCCTATTCTGTCAGTAAAAAAATATCATTTCCCCTGCGCTTGCGCGGGATTTCATATGGTTAATGAAAAAAAATTAAGAAAATTTAATCACTTTTTAATCTTAACTGTAAAGGAGTAGTTTTCACAAAGTATGTGGTAAAGGGATGCTCGTTACTGCCTCATGGTTAACTGTCGTGTAAAGTATGAGTATATGTACGCTCACTAATTTAACTGTGTTAATCTTAGAAGTTGTTAAAATCTTACAAATAAATGTACCATACACTTCTGGGAAAACAATTAACACTAGAGTCAATTTATCTGAAATAATGAAATATAAAATGTAGATTATATTTGTAGTGTCATAATTTTCGGGAAATTATAAATTTGGTGGAAGTTATGTTGTAATTTTAATTAGAGCATGCCTAAGTGGACACATTAAAACTCCGTTTTGTACAGGAATTTTTTCAAAGCGTTCTATAATATTAACTTTAAATTTTAATATATTGTTTTGAACATATTTTATTATGTAAAATACATAATTGGATTGGGCAGCAGGCATAGCCTATATTAGCCCTCTCCATTTTAATTTTAATATATAACAAGTTTACAAAAATACCCAGTACAATTTTTTTTTTCTTTGATCACATCTTCTTCTGACCATATCTAGCAATTATTTTTTTGAACAAACAAGTTCATATACAAAATTAGAAACATTCATGAATGTTTACTTTTGCTGTTTATTTACATGTATATTTACTTAACAAACCATAAAATTGATTTGCATGTCAATCTCTTGTATGGATGAAATTACAATGTCGATAGTGTTGGAAATTTGTCCAGTCCATAGTGTATCAATGTACACTATAAATCTGATGGGACTTTTTACACATACACAGAGACGTAATAAGCATAGTCATTGGCATCGGTCTTACATGTACAAAAAACCTATAATACATGATGTCTCTTTTAATTCATTACTACCTTATGTAAATCATCAGTTAGTTTACATCATATTCGCACCAAACTTTACTCTGTCCCAATGAAACTTTTGAATAGTCTTCTTGAAAAGGCCAAAGTAAGTCCAGTTTTTGATTCCTCGACATCAGAATGTAGGCTGGGATCTGTAATCATGGATATTGCAAAACATATGCTTTTTAAACCCGCATATTTTACTGAAGAAAATGCCGCTTAAACAATCCGTCTTTTCATTAAACTTTAATTTGTCAAAAAAGGAATTGATGTGGTTAATATAAGTAATATTCCTAATCACAAAAGGGTCCAGTCTTGTGTTCCACCAAATTCCAAGTTACTGTAAGGACTACACCTTCTATTCCCTATAAATATATATTGGCCATTACTTCAAAACTTTTCAATTACAAAAAAAAATAATATGGCCTGGTTATCGAGTATTTGAAACATAATCCTCCATCGTGAGCATGTTCTTCTTCGCCCTATAACTATAGTTCTGCTATGATACATGGACATTTTTAAGCACGTTGTTCTATTTATGTGCATATGAAATTTTTTTTTCCATTCATTTCAATAATTTTGTATGTGACATATATGGTATATATTTTCATACAGAGAGACACAAAGACTCCATAAA